GGATCGACTGGAGCTCTCCGCCCAACGCTGAGCTGTCGTCTGTCATCTTGTTGCCGATGGGCGTTAGACCCACTTCTCGGGGGAGGAGTGGGCACTCGATGCCTGTCATCACGATCAAATCGATCATCATAGGGGTCTCGCCGGCCTTCATGTCCCGCGCACCTCGGAGGCGACCTTGGACTGTGAGCCGATTGAACAGTATTCGCAGTGACGGATCGACTGTGAATCCTGTTGCGCGACTGCGACACAACTGAATTCTGATCTCCTGCCGCCCGGAGCAAATCTCTGATCTGCATCAAGCCTCTTCCAACCTCCGACTGAGAGGGCTGAATTGACTCCGCTATACGGGCTGCAGCTGCCAAATTCTGAATCGGGGTTCGATATACCTGAGTCGGTTGCGGAAAGAGCTGACGTCAGCGGGAGTCGGGTACTCGCTGACGCGCACGCTCGTCGAGTGCTCGCTGGAGGTTCTCCAGTCGAGTGCGTTCAGCCAAATTGGCCAAACGCGCCTCTTCCAGGGCACGAGCCTCAGGGGTTTCTCCTGCAATGGGAGTATGCAGGGCATCCATGTTCCGGTGGCGAAGTTCTTCCCTCTGCTGGGAAGTGAGTGGCTCGGGCTGATACTCTTCGTGGGCCTGAGCGGGATCGCCCCTGTCATCCATCCCGTCATTGCGGGGGAAACCGAGAGGACTACAAGGCTCGTCGACCATCAGGACCTCCACCGCTGGATCACTGCTGTCGCACTCGGATGCAGTCTCTATGGAGCCAGTCGAACAGGCCGTAGAGAGTTTCGTCAGGCTCAATTACCGCGACTTGGGTGGTGGCCGATTGGCAAGCCACTGCGTGTCTCACCCATCGCTGGAGCCTCGACCGACAGGAGCACTTGTGCTGGCGGGAGACAGGGAGGGAGGACGGCGCAAGAGTCGACCGGTATGGGGTAGACGGCTGCCGCAGCAGGACGCCGCGAACACACGCCCGAAAGTGCGTCGCCCCGCGGACGGGGAGCGCGTCGATGTCGAGTGGTGCCTCCTGGAGCCAAGCGGAGTCGTCGGCGATGAAAGCGAGCGCACCGAGACGGATCTCGCAACCCTCGATCAGAGCTCCGCCGGAAGCCATGATGAAGGCAATCGGACAAATTGCAACTTCTCCAAAAAGTCGCTAAGACACCTGCCCCACGGTGGGCGCCAACTGTCGTGGTTCTAAGTCTGACAGTAGAATGGGGGGTAGGTATGGAGAGGCAAGATCCTAGCTATGGAGTAGTTGTACACACGAGTGTTTAACGAGTTCAGGCCCTTCTCAGAGGAAGTAATAGCCCTACGTCTCGGAGCCCGGAGGCGGTCGACTGGTTTATGTGTATATGAGTTACAGGGGTGCGAACCCTTCTACTAGTGGAGAGGGGTGGCTTATATCGAGGACGCCAGGACCCCAGCCAACCCACGTAGCAGAGGGTTAAAGTACATTAAGGCCGGGCGTTACTGGTAACGCCCTACATAAAGTGTCATCATGACCATTAAGACTACTTAATTACAGACCGTTTGGATACAGAGTAGATCCTGAACTCCTGATGGTCGAGTGAGTCTTCATGGTCGAGTGTCTTCTAGCCGGTCGAGTGGAGTCACTCTTGGTCGAGTGGAGTCCCTCTTGGTCGATTGGAAGGTAGCTTCGTCTAAGGATGTCCTTGGGTATGGTATCCTAGATAGGTCCATGACCCTACCCTAGGTACATAACATCATCATCGGCCAGGTTCACAAATTCTCGAAGGAAAACAAATTCTCCGGACCATCCAGGTGGCGGTAAACAATGTCGCGTGTAGTCAAAATCACTCGATAGGAGATCAAAGACATGTGCATGCAAGTCACATTTACCCACTTTGGAAATCACCACTCTAGTCAGGGCGGAGACCTTCGCCTTCTGGTCGGTTTTGTTTCACTTTTGAGGAAGAATGTTTATACAGATGCGGTGAAACCACGAGGCATAGACTCCGACCATGCGTACCTAATCCAACCTTTGAGCAAATGGGAGAGAAGCAAGCCGTCTATGCGGCCGCCGGTTCCTTGTCCTCCGTTTAGGGTTATTAGAGCATGTCTAGTAGAGCCCTCAAACCCTTAAATCTAAAACTAGTTTAAAGGGTTGAGAATCAGCCATATTTGACACTTTTAAGGGTTGAAGAACAGGGGCAAAGACTAGAACCCTCAAATCCAACCCTTATTCCGTTATAAGGGTTGGATTTGAGGGTTCTAGTCTTTGCCCCAACCCCAACCCTTAAAACTGTCATTTGACATATCACAATTTTCATCATCTCAATAGCACCGAATAGTACTTTCAAACACATAATAGGACATAGAAAAGTAAACAAAGGTAGATCATGGGCCTTGGCGCCGCCCAGCCAACTGCCACTGGTGCTCTACTAGATCATCCCGGAGCTGACCATGAGTGTTTGCATCCTCAATCTGACGATGTGCTTCAAGAAAAGCTTGTACACGACAAGGGTTTCTTTCCGGTTGCACACGAGTACCAACATTGTCATAGAAACAAGGCAGCTTTAACCCTCTCTCATCCTCAATGACCATGTTGTGTAGAATCACACAACATTTCATGATGTTCTCCAAGGTTTTTTTGTCGCAAAACGAGCTGGACCCCTTACTATGGCAAATCTTGCTTGCAAAACACCGAAAGCTCTCTCGATATCCTTGCGGGCCGCCTCTTGTGCCTTGGTGAAATGAGCCTCTTTTTTGGTTAAGGGCACCCCATTTTTCTCCTTGATGGACTTCACAAGAGTTTCCCAATCGGGGTAAATTCCATCGGTGAGATAGTATCCCATTGAATACTCATTGTCCATTATTTTGTAGTTGCAAGTTGGAGCATCCCGAGAAACTAATCTTTTGAACAAAGGAGATCTATTGAGCACATTGATATCATTGAGTGTTCCCGGCAAACCAAAAAAAGCATGCCAAATCCATGTGCCCTCCGATGCCACGGCCTCAAGCACAATCACGACTTTTACCGCAATACATTCCTTGCCATGCCTTTGGACAATTTTTCCATTTCCAATGCATGCAATCAAGACTACCAAGCATCCCCGGCCATCCCCTTTTTTCATTCATCTCCTTCAATCTCTTTGTATCTTTCTCATTGGGTGCCCGAAGATACTCATCACCATATAATTGGATGACCAATTTTGCAAACCTACGAACGGACGCCGTGGTTGTATCTTGTCCAATGTGAAGATACTCGTCCGTATAGTCCGCGGGTATGCCATGGGCGAGCACCCGCATTGCAGCCGATATCTTTTGGTACGCACTAAACCCCATGATACCGACAGAGGATCTACGACGCTTGAAGTAATCTGAGGCGGCCTCACAATCGGTGACAATTTTCACAAACAAACTACGGCGCATTCGGTACCTTCTCCGGAAGAGGCGAGGTGGGTATGTCGGTACCTCCGCGAAGTAGTCTCGCCTCAAATGTTCGTGTCCGAGACAACGGTTCCGGTAGATGGTGACTCGCCCTATCTTTGACCCTCTCCTCTGATCCAACAACTTCACGCGGTCTTCAAACTCTTGCACGTTGGGGAGGAGGCCCATCATCTCGACGTCATCGTCTTGAAGCAGGTCCTCAATGTCTGAATCATCCGGCGGTGTGGAGATAGAGGGAGGAGGAGTAGGGGAGCTCACCTTGGACGGCCCGCAGTGGAGGAGGCCGGTGGTGTGGACGAGCTCGGGGCGGTGGAGGAGCTCGGGGCGACGGTGGAGGAGCTCGGGGCGGGACGGCGGCGGCGGCCCGAGATGCGGCCGGCGGCGGTTCGTGGGAGGCGCGGGAGGAGGTTGGGGACGCAAAACTTCCCTCCCGCGCGTGGCCGGATCGAAGTGAGGGTTGGGTAGATTTTGCCCCCCAATCCTCACTTCTACAGGTTGGGAGAGGGTTTGCAAGTCTGATTCTTAATTTTTTTTTTACGGATTTAAGGGTTAAGGGGTTCTTGTCTACGTGTTTTTTTTTCGTCCAACCCGTAAAAAGACGGTTATTCTTGGTTTTTTGAGGGTTTAAGGACTCTACTAGACATGCTCTTATATTTTTTTTTGAGCATCAGTATAGACACAAGCGCTCATATACACGCGCATACACTCACCCCCTATGAACGCACACACGCACACCCTACCCCTATGAGCACCTTCGAGAGACTGAGTCGGCATATCATCTTGAGATTTACGAAGCAACTGTAGGCACCTCGTCGTCGACGGGAACGTCTCCTCCCACTGAAAGCGCATCGCCGGAAATCCTGAAATAAATTCAGGAATAATACGAGCACCAAGATTTAAACCCTGATGAGTTGGGAATACCACTGTCCATCTAATCATCTCAACCACAGATTGATTCGCAGACATGCTCTTATACGATGATTGCACGATCTGCCCGGGAGATTGTTTGTACGTATTCCCATCCGGCCACGCGACAACCGTAAGCCACTTTGCCGCGCATAAAAATGCATTGACCGACTTTTTGATCGCCCCCACATGCTGATCCAGAATCCTTCATTTTCCTTCTAGAAATCCATCGTACACACCGCACATTACTTTACCAGTTTACTTCTCTGCATGCGTGCGTAATCGACAAGTAAAGGAAAGAATTCTTCTCCCTCAAACCGAACCTATCTGGAACCCGCCAACATTCACGGACAAGGAGAAGAATAATCCAATCCAAAGCAGAGCAGAACAGAGCAAAAGCAGACTGTACTCGCCCGAATTGGTCTCTGCTCCGTCGTGCCACACCCCTTCTCGAAGCCGTGAACGATCCATCGCCGTCCCGCCCATTCATTCCAAGCCGTCGGCCCCAGTTGAGTTCCCCCACCACCTTTATAAACGCCGCTCTCTACTCTTCCTCCCTCCATTATCCCCCACCACCACCCGCCTCCACTCTCCAAGAAACTTCCCTCCCGATTCTGTTGCTTCCCTCCACGCGCCTCGCCGGAGAGCGGCCGAGCTGCAACCAGGCAGCGGCGGCAAATGGAGGAGAGAATTATCACCCCCCGGCGCCGAGAACCGCGAGACCAGAACCAGACCGCCGACGCGGCCCCGGCGGTTTCGTGTTCGTCGGGGGAGGACTCGACGTCGACGGACGGGGACTCGGAGCCCGGCTTCGAGTTCGAGTTCCCGTCGCTGCTCGGCAGGGGCCAGGGCTCCCCCGCGCCCGCCGACGACCTCTTCGCCGACGGCCGCATCCGCCCCGCCGCCTTCTACCCCGTCTTCGGCCGCCGCCCGTCAGCGCGAGCGAGTTCAGCGGGGGACGTCGACGGCCTCGGCCTCGTCCCGGCCGCGGCGCCGGAGCGGAGGACGAGGGGGCAGCTCGGGCGGCTCTTCCTCGAGGAGTCCCGCGCGTGGAACAGCTCCTCGTCGAGCAGTAGTACCGGGTCGACGGCGTCCACGTCGTCGTTGTCGTCCGCGGCCACCGCTGACGACGGGGACGGGTACGGCGACGGTGGCCTCGCGGGCGCCGCGCCGGAGAGCTACTGCGTGTGGGCGCCCGGCGGCGGCGGTAAGTCATCGGAGTCGCCGCGGCGGCGCGGGTCCACGGGGTCGTCCGTGGCGCGGTGGCGCCGCATCAGCGACCTCGTGGTCGGCCGCAGCCAGAGCGACGGCAAGGAGAAGTTCCTCTTCCTCCCCGTCAACCCGCCGACGCCGCCGCCCAAGCAGCAGGAGCCCAAGCGCAAACCCAGGCCGAACCCGGCAACCGGCGGCACCAAGAAGAAGGGCAGCGAGATCGGCACGGTGGCCGCCGCCCACCGGATGGCCTACGGCGCCAAGGCCGGCGTGGGCGTCGCCGCCAACGGCGCCACGCCGCGGCGCACGTTCCTGCCGTACCGCGAGGAGCTGGTGGGGTTCTTCGCCAACGTGAACGGCATCAGCCGGAGCCACGCGCACCCCTACTGATCGACGACCGACCACGACGACGACTCCGGTCGGCCGCGCGCGCCACGGGGAGATTCAAATTCCATTCGTGTTTGAACTTTGAAGCTTGGATTTTTTAAGCTGGTGATCGATCAGCGGGTAGGTAGGTTAGTACTCCTGCTAGTATTGTGATTAATAGGTTAGCAAAAATTGGTGAGAAATTAAAGATTGATGTGTGGTGTGAAACGCGGTGCACATCGCCGACCGTCGCGCGTCCCCGGCGATCGGGCCGTCGAGGTGACGTGTGAACGGCAGCGTGTGGTGGCGAGTGAGGACATGCCTTTCTTTCTGCCTTATTCATTCATTCATTCATTCTTCTTCCTGCAACAGAGTTTGTACCCCGTCCGAAAATACTTGTCATTTAAATAAAAAAAATGTATCTAGAAGAAAAATACGTCTAGATACAATCTCTTTTATCCATTTTGATGACAAATATTTTCGGACGGAGAAAAAGTACGTACGTAGAGTATTACAGTACATTCCCGGTTAGGGCATGTACAATGCATAGCCTTAAGGTGATGCCTCGCATGCTTTGTAGGATCGGATATGACGTAAAGTAGGTTCGGATAGGGAAGCGGGATCCTCTCCGGGAGGCGGATGCTTGAAGAGAAAAAGTGTGGTCCGGTGACAAAAGCTGAAAAGGTGGAGTGGAAAATAAAGATGCATGTGTACTAGAGTCTTTATTTTTTATTTTTTAATGAGGCCCACTAATGATAGCTTGCATTGGAAAGAAAAAATAACCACCTCAAATTATTTTTTATCATGAGGCATATGTATCCATATATGTCACCATTGTACATGCCCTTAGTGCTAGAACTAGTGGCCATTGACCCTAAAAGAAAAAAGCACTAGTGGCCAACCCTGACTGTACGCTTAATTGCTGCTAGTACGTGTGGTTGGAATGGACGACACTTGGCTTTCCTTTTGTAACCCACTCCACGGCGTCCTACAATACTGTGCGCGGAACGGGCGGCGGCGACGCACCACACACGTCCTCTTCGTTGGTTCACGGGGAAAAGACGACGGGGCACCATTTTACGGAAGCTAGGATGGATGGGATCCGGCTTGCCTGCTCTTTTTTCATGCTTCTATCCGTGCTTCCACTTCATCCTACGGTTGTCTTTTTTTTTTCTTTTTCTAATCTAATCATCTTTCTTCCCTGATTTTAAGAGTGTGGGGCCGGACTTTATATTGTTCCAATCAAATCATGCCACATATGCGGGAGCATGGATAGGCACACACGCGGGAAGCAGGTAAGTCTCGTCCGGATGGATGGGAGCGTGGTCGATGGGGCAACACCCCGCGTAGCATGTTTTTGCCAAGTCAGCTCCCGACAAACGGGGCCCATCTGTCATAAACATGCTCAAAGAGCTATAATCCGTCGATCAGTGATTTTTGCAAAACGATTACACAAGACGTGGTGTGTTCTGTACCAAAAAATATAGCGTAGTGTTTTCTGCAAACCCAGCCTTCAAAGTGATGCTTCATGCAATTTACTCAACGGGATACACGCCAGAAACATGTGATGCCGTAGAGGAAACCAGTTTGAAAAAAAATCCTCAAAAGCAACGTACTCCGAGCAGACGACCGGGGTGTTGCCTCAGTCTGATTCGTACAACGGCGATGACTTCATTTTTGATGAGCCATCTTGAAGGTCCGCAAAATTGCATATCAGCGATGGAGCTGCGTCACTTTTCTTAGCTGCTGTGGTGGTGCCGGAGTAGGGGATGGACGTTGGTGTCAAGCTCAAAGATGTTCTGCTATATTTTCAGTTTTGTCATGTCGGACCTTACGTGACTTACACTTTATTATGCTTTATGATATGAATGAGACACGTATTACCATGAAAAAAAAAAGCAGACAATGTGTAGTACCAGCGCACCTCCGAGCAGATGATCACCGCTCGTACTACGTGACGGCTTAATTAATGCAATGAAATAATGAAAACATTGGCACCGTACGTCAACGGTAGCTAGAGATTGATTTGATGCAATGGATGGGCGGCACACTTGCAAATTAGTGTGGCTTTCATGCCAATCTTCCCCGCAATCATAGCAGCGCTGATGATGCGCACATGTAGTACCAGCTACATTATTTTGCGTGACAAACAAGTGCTTCAAGGACAAGGAGGGCCTTTGCTTGCATAACAAAAGAGGACGTGTAGTGACAAGTGGAACCAACATTGTGTTTTTTGTTTGGTTACACAAATGTGTCACTCGAATCTAATTTCAATTTTGG